CCCCTCTGCCCTTTCAGCCCTCCCTCTGCCCTGTCAGCCCCCCCTCTGCCCTGTCAGACCCTCCCTCTGCCCTGTCAGCCCCCCCTCTGCCCTGTCTGCCAGTAGCCGATATGCTTTAGGGTGTAGCGAGCAAGCTTTAATTGTGGTATTCTCTTCTGTTGAAGGACGGCAACGTTACCGGCAAGGCGGCAGCAGCTTTGGAGGAGGTAATAGAGGAGGCTCGTCAGATGGATACGGCGGCGGTAGAGGCAGGGGCTCTGGCTACGGTGGATCAAACAACGAAAAGTATGGCAACAATGACTTCTCTCAAACCAATTCTAGGGGAGGGGGCAATGCGGGCGGAAGGGGTGGCTTTAGGGAACGAGGCGGGGACTATGGCAGCAACAGTCGAGCCCCCTCTTACGGAGAAGGGAATCACGGGAATGGGGCCTTTGGCAGTGGTGGTCCGCGCAGGTCTGGCCCCCAGTCTGGATTCCAGGGTGGCTACCCTGATCGTGGTGTGCAGAACGACAAACATAGCCAGGCCAAAGAGCACAGGGGTTTCCAGCCACCACACAATGACGGCCCTCCCAACCACCCAGGCAGGAGGCCCCCACCCATGCCCATGAACCAACCCCAGCAGTCGGGTAATACCGGGCCCAAGCACATGAAGCCGGGCCATTTCTCCGATGGTGGTATGAATCGGGAGCAGAAGCCCGGCCCGTTGCATATGATCCAACGCCCCGGGGGTCATAACCCGCAGCAGAACTCGCATGGAAATCACATGCCGCCGCCGCCGCTACGCCAACAGCAGCAAGGGCAGCCTAAAGCACAACCCCCCAAACCGCCCCAGAAAGTTGACACAAGCACGCTGCAGCAGCAGGCCAAAGCCTTTGCCGCGCAACAGCAACAGCAGCAGCAGGCCCAGCCGCCGCCAGCCGCCATGGATCCGCAGCAACTGCAAGCAGCGGCTGGCATGGATCCGGCCGCGTATTCGGCAGCGCAGCAGCAGTACATGCAATACTATCAGGCCATGGCGTATTGGCAGCAACAGCAGTATCAAGGAACCCCGCCCCCTACCAATGCTAAATAAGATGGGAAAACAGTGTTAGAATTGTAGTGTAACACTTGAGCTTTCATTGATGCTGACGCACGTGAATACAAGATCATGTAGCACTCTTTAAGTTGGGGTTTCTGTGGTAAATGTACGTGCGTCTTCATATCGCCTGCCAGATGTCAGGCATACTCTCCGGCCAAGGGTGTGCCATTTTTTGATTGTGTACCCCTAGAAAGGCAAGAGCAGCAGAGTTCAGTTTAACGTCGTTAATTGGTCATCAGCACAAGTATTGGAATAATTGTGGAAGTAGAGCGAAGTCCCACATCAACCTTTGACTTCATCAATTAAATATGACAGTCGGGCATCTTTTTTTTTGACATTGAGTGACATTTCACATTGAGTGACATTTCACATTGAGTGACATTTCACATTGAGTGACATTTCACATTGAGTGACATTTCACATTGAGTGAGCTAATTGAGGAAATCTTAAACTGTAGCACAGTCACCTTTGCCAAAAGAAAAGGGTTTTCTTTAAGCGGGATTTATGTTTTGATATGTTACTTGTTTAGTTCTAGACTATCGTCAACATTTCGTTAATCAGGTTATTAATGATTATCTGTCACTGAGAATGGTAGTGTCTGAGAGGGGCACTTTGATGTACGGAATTTTGGATGTGGATGTACCTTACAGTGAAAGTGGACTTGGTATTTTACAGAAGCATAATGTATCGGCTCATCATTAGCTAATAATAGTGTAACCAGATTTTAATTTATTCATGGCTCTGGAAAAAGTCTGCTCTCAGTCGTGAAACGGAACTGATTGTGTGTACTCTGAGCTTGAACATTGGGTCTGTCATGGAGAGGTGCGAGTTGTTAAGTGGTGGGTGCTCTTGCATTGTTTCAAAAGTTCACCACCAAGTTTTACTGTTTAGAGCGTTCACCTGTAAATAAACTTGGTCCAGGGGCCAAGTCATTTATCAAATAATGTGGTCTATACCTGCAGCAGGAGTGCGTATGCTTCTTAGCTGTGCATGTCATATACGGTTTGTTACGGAGAGGCCGTCCCGAAGTGTAGCGACAGTGTTTATTGGAAAGGCACCGTTGGCTTTTTCGGGGGGTAACACTTTTCCGTGACTGTTCTTTTACACTACAGGTGGGGCGCCTTTAAATCCAACAGTGGTTACGGCAGATAAAAAGAGAACCCCCGCTGTGGTGTGAAGGTGGCCAAGAAAGTGACCATGAGCAAGGCAGTAAACCACGGACCAGAGACTGTTATTGAATTATTGCATTCCTTATGGCATGTCAGGAGCACTCCGCTGCAGTCAGACCAACATTTCAGATTTTAGCGGATTTCCCTTTTGATTTTTAATAACGTCATTGTATTATTAATGTGTACATGTGTGTTCACTGTGTGAGTACAGCACCCTTTGTTCAAGAGCTGTTGTAAAGATAACATGCGCTGGTATATTTATGTTGTCAAGTCTTTTTTTTTTTTTTTGGTTGCCAGCCGAAGAAACCCAGGGATATTCCTATGAATAATACATGCATTTGTTTTACCGAGCATGATGTATTTGTAAGGAATGGGGTCAGTGTCCGTAACCTTGTATGGGCGGGGCTGAATGGCCGCTTAGCATCGGCTTCAATTTGAGAGGCTGGGACTCTTCAGCATTTAGCAAATTATCGCAAAAGGACACTTCACCGACCGTACGCCTTTTCATGAAAACAACTTCAAGTTGACTTAAAACATTCCTACAATAATCCCTCGCCATGTTGTCGTAACACCCTCCCACAAACAGACGCACACACTGTTGGGGACACCGTCATGCATTTGGCCTTACTTTTCGTGTCTTATTTTTGTTACTGTATACATGTACTATTTAAATGACGTCACGGTGGTTATTTTTGTCATGTTTTCATTTTTTTAAATGCAGAAACTGTCTACAAGCAGAATGGTCAATGTAATTTTTATCGTGTGGATGCCCTCCAATTCATGACTCAAAACATGTTCATCTGCAAACTGGGAGGTCGCTGAGGGTTATTTCAGTGGCTTGACAGGGTAAATTTTGCCACCTTCAATATGAAATACACCTCGTACATTGTACTTTCCCCAAGAAACACTTTGCAGAAATTCAGAGTGCAGTCTCTCTCAGAGCCACCGTCGATTCGAAATCCAGGTATTACTTTGTTCCGCTGTTCCTATGAAGAATTTAGGGGAGGGGCACACATAAAGGTACGGGGATCAAAGAATTCGTCTCGAGCTTTGTAAAATACGGCCCAGCTGTTGCATTTGCCTGAACACTTTTCTTCAACACAAAACTTTGTTGGGCGTAGGAGGGCTTCACAGTAACAGCATTTTCTGTAGTTGTGGTTAAATTAAAATCGTGTAATTTTAGATCTGGGTTTTTGTCTCTTATTTTGTGTACAGGACGAGGAGTTCAGTGTCCAGAACGCAGTACCTCTAAAACTTTGATCAAATGAAGATGGGTTATTCACTGCGATTACATGAAAGCACTGTCCATACCTTCAGCGCGCTTTTCGATGAAAACTACCAAATTTGGAAAACAATATCAAAAGTCAGGGAATGTACGTATCACACGTCACTGAATGTGCAAGTGGCGATGTACCTTTCCAAAACAAAGACATCGTTCAGCAAAAAAATTGATATAACCAGTACAGTAGTTGCTTCCCCTGCCCCGTTTCCAACTCATCTTGTAAAACAGAGAAGTCTGCTGTTTGCTTCCTAGTTAGCGAGTAGCGGTACATATAATTAACATCAGATTTGAGACGGCGCCAAATAATGACGCACATTTTTTGGGGGGGAGTTGTTTTAAACAATATAAATAGCTAAAATCTTGTTTGAGAGAGGGCGCTCAACATCACTGCCTTCACGAAAATTTATTAACAGAGGGCACGACGCAGGAAGCTCACTTTGTGTATATACGTGTACAAAAATATTTGAGGGTGACACCATTGTAATTGAAATAGCATGTAAACGGGGCAATGTACACGTACAATTTTCCAATCTCTCTTTGTAACCTCGGTTTAAAGCATAAACATCTCCATAACCTGCCAGTTAGCTTTAGCTAGTAATATTCACCGGAACAGGGCGCTGGGAAGGTATGGAGCGTCAAAGGTGGACAACCCCATTTTCTCGTTTTCTGCATTTTGGAGTTTGCGAAAAGCATTTTCAAAAAGTGCAATTTTCCGCTAGCAAAAATTTGGATTTTACTTTAACAACTCTCGTGGCGCGTCAAAAGTGGACAACTAAAAACCTCGAATTTCCACTGGTAAAATTACTGTCATGCTCCAAAAGTGGACAATTTCATTTTTTGCCAGTAGATTTTCGGGTTTGGGGGATTTGCGTAAAGCATTTTCAAAACTCAATTTTCTGCTGGTAGATTTTAGGGTTTTTGAAGTTGCACCACCCCTTTTCATGAAACCCAATTTTCTGCTAGTAGAATTTTGAGTTTTACCTTGACGACAGCGGGGTGGTCCTGAAGTGGACAAGTTGAAAAATGACAGGACCGCAGCGCCCTCTACGCTCAGAATGGAACGGTCTTGGGAAGATGGGTATAGTCTGATCTCACGGATGCCGTCACAGCTTTGAAAAAAAAATGTGGACGATTCCTATTGCGATATTAAGAGGATTTATAGAGCAAATAGAAAAGCGGCCGCCCAAAGCCTGACAGTCCTCTTTGGTACCGAAAACTTCCAACTTCCCAGTGCACCCGTGTAATTAGAAAGATGATGGCGGCCTGCCGCCGGACATTTCCGTTTGAAATAACTGAGCACATGATGATATGTGTCCCCTAAATGATGCTAGCTGTAACGAACCATTTTGTCCTTGTGCAGTAGTATACTTGAATTTGTTGTGGAATGAAAAAAGTCGTGTTAAGAGAAGAAGGTAAGTGCTCTTTAATCAATTAAGTGAACCACGAGTTTCAAAAAGAGGAAAATAGAGAAAGTAAAAAAATGGTAAACATTAAAATGCAGCTTGAATTTGCAGAATTAATCTCGACATCCCACAAATTCCATAACACGTATTTAGCCAATAATCCCAATCACAAAAAAAGGATATTCACGACGAAAATAAATCTTCAGCCAGTACACCAGTCGGTCACTGATATGATATCAAAGATTTAATTGAATTTTTATCATTCGAATCTTTCTTTAAGCCATCAATACAAGTGGGCAGTTATAGTGGAGGCCTGGGTCATTAATATGAAGACAAATGATTCAAAGTGACAATGATTGAGATATTAACGTAATGAAAACACAAATTTGCAAGTGACGGCCCAGAGCAATCATCAGATATACGTGTACTGTGAAATGCATAAATGGTGGATTGTATAGCAAATCTTACATCTGAATATAAAAAAATGATTGTTGCTATTTTGGCTCTCCGAGTAACTTCCACTATAATTTTCGTCAATCCTGGACATATTATTTTCAATAATTTCCTTTAGAATAATACTCCTCTCCGATAAATCCCATAAAATTCACATCCTTGACGCGAAGAAGGTCCGATCTTTTTCACAAAATCGGTTAAATGCAAATACAAGTTGCATGATAAAGGCCAATCACAGCGAGGGAATACCCAAATGACGCCTGACGCCCGTCAACAGACGGCTCCGCACGTTTGCAGTACTACAAAGGACCGTCACTCTGGCAGCCACTTCGATCGCAACTTTCGTCCACATATTTTTTTTCAGGGTAGGGTGATACCAATCTTCCCAAGACCGGTCCATTTCGGTAGAAAAATGTCCTTCCAGTTTTTAACTTGTCCACTTTTGGACCAGCCCGCAGTCGTCAAAGTAAAATCCAAATTTCTGCTAGCAAAAAATGTTTTTTCAAAAAGGGATGGTGCAACTTCAAAAAACCAAAAAAAATCTACTGGCAGAAAATGGGATTGTCCTTTTTGGAAGCGTCGAATAAAACTTGCTAGCGGAAATTTGAAGTTTCCGCTGGCAGAAAAGTGAGTTTTTGAAATTGCTTTACGCAAATTCCCCAAACCCGAAAATCTACTAGCAGAAAATGGGGTTGTCTACTTTTGACGCTCCACAGGGAAGGGCTGATGACCTTGCACAGATTTTAGTGAAGGAAATGCGCGTCACGCGGGGTCACAGGGTACGACTTGCAGAGCATTCTGGGTAAATTTCTGTCAGGCGCACGAGCTCACTCAATGTTGCAGTTATCAATTCGATATTTTTCTTTTTTCTTCCTCATTGCTGGAAATATTCTCACTACGCTTTATTTCATCCAAAATTGATCAAGATAGCCAATGATTCGAAATATGTATATCCCCAAAAGACACGTGATCAGAGATACTTAATGAGAAGATGAATTACGGGGATTATTCCAAGGCCATGTTTTATCATAATCTGCCACTTCCGTCTATGTCAAAGCATTTCCATTGGTTAATCAAAAACCTAAACGCATCGCTAACAGGAAGTAATAACTTCGAGGTCGGAGGTCGCGTACAAAGTAACCAATCACAGTGCAACGCCGTGAGCCCTTCCCCAGCACCCTGTTCGACCCACGGACGTGTATATATATATATATATACGTTCGTGGTTCGACCCTGTTCTGGTACATGGTAAATGAGCACAACTAAAAGGGCGCTGTTCAAAGAATCGACAGAAGGCGCTAATAATTTGGCCAATAGAGGGCGGCCTCTACTAAGCCTACAGAGGGCGCTGTTTCTTGAAAGTTACCCAGTTACTTCTCTTCAACTTCTAGTCTAGAAAGTGTTGATCTACATCATTTACATGTAAGTTGAAAAATGAAGGTGTCTTCATACTGTGGAAAACTGTGTTGGCGAGTCTGAAAAAGAAAAATTTTTACCAAAAGTGGCGCCAAGGCTGGATGGATAACGAAAACCGGCTTTTTACGGGTACGAGCGACGCGACGAGGTAGGCTAGGTCACATTACATGATCATGATCATGGTCTACCGCCGTACCACCGGCCTCCATGGTCTATCTTAACTTAAGTTATATTTAAAGCCAGCCCACTAATTCAAGCTCTATTGAAAACAGTGTAAAATCAGCACCGTTCAGGGCCCAATAACATGCATACCAACATCCCGGAGATTCCTGAAAAACCAATGAAATTATAATCTGGCCCC